CCCGGGCTGGGTATCTGTGCCGGTCGGGTGTCCTACTTCCCCGCGGAGATCGTTCATGTTCCTAAGTCGTACGCCGTGATCCCCGTTCAGCAATGGCTAGCTAGCTCACTTCGTACGTGTTATCCAGCTGGTCGCAAACCCTTGGCAAATTGGTGTTCGAGTCTGAGCATGACGCAGGTGGTCACTTCGCAGCATTTGAGGTGCCACATCGGCTTGCAGGAGACCTGCGAAGGATGTATGGGAAGGGTGGACCCGCGCATGGCGTTGTTCCGGGCAAGAGTGGCTACGATGCCTAGGATACGGAGTGCTCTATATCACGCTACGATTGTCCTTGGCATTTCGCGAAATCTTAGGTACCAAAGTTCAACTAGGATAGCCACAGGTGATAGGAGGTATTCGTTGGGTGATCAACCTTGCGCTTCTTCGGTAGCCGGTATGTACGGCGGCTTGGGAGGCCGACAACCGGCTGGTGAGCTTTGCCGGAGTGTATTCGCGGCGCACACTCGAGAGACGAGAGAACTTGATGTTGATACAGGTCGAACTTGAATCAAAGACTCGGGATATAGATATAGATACGGCGTATGACTACAAGTAGAGATCCATTCTCGTTCAAATTGTGGTGTACGCCCAAAGACTACCGCCTCGACTTGCGGTTGTCGCGATGGTCGGTATGCTTGCAATGACAATGTCATTAGGTTCCGTGTCCTAATTACCGTCCTTAAAACTCTGCAGTTGCTGGAGCAATCAGAACTCCAAAATCACTCAAACGAGCAGAGACAAGACGTGCCTTTGACGCGACGGAGCTCTTGCTGTCGTTCTTGGGCTGCGCTGCAGGCTCAATAGCCTGATGTTCCCCCTTGTTCTGATTACCCTGGGTCGTCTGTTTCAACTTCTGACTCTTGCCACTGGCGTGCTCGTGCTCACCTGCACTTTCGACAGTGTGGCACTTTGGCCCGTACCAGGCTGCGCAGGGTCTTTTGGTGTTGTAACGTCCTTCGGGCCGACGGGCTCCATCGAATCGCCGCGTGTCCGGTGGATGAGGGGCTCTTGTGAGTTCGATTGGGGCTGATGTTCCTGCGTCGACGTCATTCGGTACTCCCCTGTGAGATGACAGCTCAATGAATCCGATGCATGCAGTGTAACAATGAACGCGAATATGTACATGTCGGAATTGCAGCAGGTGATTTTGACTCTTCCTTCTTCGCTTGGTATGACCTCTGTGCGTACCAGGAGGTCCCGAAGGCGGCTACAGTAGCTGTGACGCCTGTTGCGAGCACTTAGTAAGGATTGAAACGTCAATCCTGACCGGTTCTCCGTCACTTGAGTGTGCCTAGCAGCTCACCTTGCCTCTCGAGCGTAACAGCTGCTGATAACTCCTTGTCACGCCAGAGTGGGCCATGCTGCTCGATGGGATTTCAAGACAAGCAGATATAAAGTGTGAGCAAGAACGAAGTCGAAGAAAGGAACCTGGGCAGACCCCATGGTATGTTATATAGGAGCAGGTCGTGGTGATGGGAAGCAATGAGACCGTGTTCGACGTCATTGTCTATCCTCGCTTTCTCACGCGCCACCGCGCACGTCGCGCGGGTGCCCACGTGATCGCGTATCCCAGGGCCGCTGCACTGAATGACCCCGTACAAGTCTTCTGGAATGCCCGCGAGCGGGGTGACGCATTGATAATAGAAAAAAAATACTATGGTCAAGTGTTATACCACGGGAAATGGACTACTAGAGATGGTACAATAGAGGATAGTATCATCATACGCTGACTTACGCAACTGGAATGTACGTCGAACAGGTACTCAAAAGCAGATATGTCACGACATGACCTCAACAAGAGGTAGAATAAGAGTGAGGACCTTCTTGCGGCTCGTCAGACCTAACACCTCCCCTGTAGCGTCCCACAACCTCCGTTTCAATGTCTGAGCGTCAGGAAAGTCCCGCGGTACGGTAAACCTGAAGTGCACCTCCTGGAGCGCCCCCATCCTGGTGAATTTGTTGCGGAAGCGTCTCCATGGGCCGCGCTTCCGATGACCAAGGGCCGCGAAGAAGGCGTTTCCGATCTCCGCGCGTGGGAACGAGACACGGAACGTAACTTCACGCACCTCGCTCCATCTGCTCGCGAAGGACTCGAAGAGGTCGGCGTGGAGATGCAAGACCTTGTCGAACAGACCTTCTGGGCCCAGCGGAGAAAGCTTTCGGTCATAGCTGGGCGGAATTTCCAGCCAGAGCACGATATCCCTCAGATTTTCCGTCGCGCCGAGCCCGAGCTCGGCCCATGTCCGAAACGGGTCAACTACAAGCAGCGTCAGAACGACACAAGATTGGGAGGAAAAAAGAACGCAAGGTGGGACGTACAAGCACGTCACAGCGCAAGCGACTCACCTGGACTGAAGAGCATCTGCGAGACGTCCAATTCCAAGCTTGTCACAGGACTCGCAAATTCACCGCGGGAAAGGAACGTCCCAAGATGCCTCGCTTCTGACCATGTCCGCGCGCGCAGCCGCACCGCAGACAGGCTCCTGTTGTCCTGGCCGTGCGCAAACCAGATAAAGTCCTTGAGCGCCGCGATGCGCGCCTCACTCCTCTCCAAATCCAGGCTGTTCAGAGACAACTTCAAGATTCGGGGCACCACCCGTCGCCGTGCGAGTTCTAACGCGACGTTGGCCGCGGAAACCTGCGCGTCGTCTGCGAGCATAGGCACGCCGTCTTGCGGACCAGGGTACGACACCGACAGCTCCTCAATGAAGGGAAAGATGAAAAGAGCATCGATAAGGTGGCCACGCGTAGTAGACACGCATCTCGAGATGGAGAGGGTCGTCAGTGCGGTTACGTCCGAGAGACGCGGAATTGAATCCGCTACCCAGGAATGCATATTGTTGTCGAACGTGAGGGTGTCTAGCGATAATACTTTGATGCCTCTGACGACGGTGAGGAGGTAGGAGAGGAGGTGGATGGAGAACTGTGGTGGGACGTATTCCCACTGCGACGGGTCCGAAGCGGCGTTGTTCCTCGACAGAGACAAGCTACGGAGCCTCGCTCGTATGCCGCCACCATTGTACGCAGGTCCTGGGGCAACTGAATTGCTTGAAGTAGGCCACTTCTGCAACCAGGGTCTACCACTGATCGTAACATCCGTGATTGCTGCTTGCGCCCAAGGCCGCTTGCGGAGGAAGTCTATCCAGTCCCCGATGCTCCGCACGTTCCTCCACCGCTTGCTCAAGAGTCGAGACAGATATGTCAGGTCACGCGACTTGCTCTCCTGCGTGGGACAGACGTCGATGTGAATACTACGGAAGAGCGCGGCGCGAGTGCGCTCGCGGAAGGGACGACAGAGGCACCCGAGCGCCATGAGCAGCTCCTTGTCGTCGTATTCCAAGAATACGTCAATAACGAGAGGCCAGGAAAAACGAGCTGGCGTGGCCGCACGCTCCGCAGGTAGATCGGGAGGGAGATCAGAGCGTATACGGTTGTGAATCTATCAAGCCGAAATAAGCACCGTACGCGCAAAGCAAGGTGATAGGGATGACTTACACGTCCAGGATGCCTCATCTTTAACGAGAGCAGCTGTATGAAGTGGGGCAAGGCATAAATATGACTTCCCTATCCAAGATTGGTCTGATATATATGGGCGAGTGGCACCGGATGCATCGGAGTGGCATGGGCGCTTCTGACTTGACGTCTGTGCCATTGAGATTGTGCGGCAGCAGCCTCGAGGTGAAGTACGTGGCCACGTCGTCCATTGTTCTCCTTACATGTAGTCAAAGTAATTCTCTACATCACATGATTCGCAGACCCGAAACCAACAACGACCTGATGCAGAAGAAGAGCAGTGCATTGTCGAGGCCGTTGGCCAACAATGGGTCTGCTACGCTAACATCTTCTCTAGATAGGCCACCCTGCATGAATAAGTGAGCTCATACAGAGGTGGTTCATTAACTAACTGCCAGGCTACTACTATCATTGGTACCGGGAGAGCTCACCTTGGTGGAGCACTTCTGAGGAGTCTTTACTATGCTGCAGACAGAGTAATACTAAGCAGCTCTAGGGCGTAAGCAAAGGGCTGGGCAGAGAAAACGGCGAGGGAGCCGAACCCCATGGGCCAGACTTGCGTTGGACGCGTTGAAGCAGAACCAGGAGTCGTTGCCCGGACGACTGAGCGTCGCTGTGCACCTCGGGCGCCTGCCTCCCAATTCGACTGCACGGCGCCGATGCCGACGGCTACACGTGGCCCATCACACTCATGCCGGTGATAATCGACCATCGATCAGCAGTAGGTCGCCTCTCACCAAGTAGTCCATGGGACAAGTGATCAACTACCAATACGCATCTCGAGTACGTACGTCTGTCACTGAATGTGCTTTGCAGAAGGGCTCCTGTTGCCCAAGGAAGACTCTCCCAGTTATATGCTACGGTCGCCCTGGATCTCTTCCTTAGAAAGCTCCGAGCACGCAAGGAGCAGAGCAAGTGCGATTAGAAGTCATAGCGTTGTCGCTGACTGACTCCATCTCGTCTGCATGCCTGAATCATGACTAACATAGTCCATTTGTTACGTGATTGTTCTCCCCTCCGACGTATCGCCAATTTTTGGTGTATGATCTCGTGGTATATTGGCGCACACATTGCATCTGCTCTCAAGGGCGACTTCATGAATCACTTGCAGACATTCACGCTGTAGTTGGTGTGTTGTACGAGCATGGTACAAGTCAATTCCCTGCATACCTTTGTCGGCCTGTGATTATGACACGCAGGCATACCAGCACAGTTTGCAGAGATATTGTCATTGTGCGGGCTGTCCAACAAGACACTGGGTCTCGTTGAACCCCATGCAAGCACGGCCGGATGATCAAGCTTCAATCAGCACTTGATATATCAGATATTGCACCGGTATGCGACTACAATTGTGTTGTTTCCTTACCTGGATGCCTATACTAGAGTGGCTCTTCAACGTCAGAGGCGGCTTCCCTCAATGCATGTCCACAATATCATCTCCGCCGAGGCCATCATCCTGTCCGAGATAGTCTTCGACAGCGATGGAGGCTCCGAGTGAGCTGACGACTCGCTCAAATACTATGGAGCGGTTATCGGGAGACGAAACCTGTGACGGAGGCATGGAGCCAGTACCACGAAGACTAGCCGACTGGAGACGCAAGAGGAAGCGCGAAAGAATGACAGCTGATATCCTACAATTCGTACGCGTGATGAGTCAGAACAGAACACCATTGGTTCGGGAGTACATACGGCGTTGTGAAGGTTACGAGTCCACTAGTAGATTGCAGTAGAACTATGTCCAGCTGCAACGTTCATGATTAGTACTACACATTACAAAGTCCCAGGGGTGGCTATACCGAAAGCAATGTGAAAGCGATGTGTAGACAGTTGATGATGCCGAGGAGACTAGATATATTGAGGTTTAGGTTTGGCAGACTCAGGTACTACGGGTGTGAAGACATACAGGAAGTAGATTGTTCCTGATTTGGCACCATGGTTAGCAGTGTTTGAGATCGAGCACAAAATACATGTCCAATCGAGTGCTCACCATCCAATAGTAATATGCTTGCGAGGGAGCCTTGCAGTAGACCTATGTGGCCAATGACCCGGAGGCGGACCAGTGTGAGCCATGTTGCACCGATCGCGAGGCAGTCTGCAGCAATCAGGCTTGAACGAGATACAATGGTTACTAAACCCATCAGAGATCAGGGACGTGCGAGGCTTCGCGGGTCCATGTAGCTCACATCTATAAAACATGTCATATAGTTCAGCAAAGGTTGTCCTTTCGAATGTTTTTTTCAGGGACTGACGTCTTTGAGAGATTCACAGGTACACCCGCAATTTCCGTACATCCAAACGGATCTATATCCTCTCCGGTCAGCCCGAACCGGAAAGTGACCTGTTGACATTCGACCGCTCAGGCATTCAGCGTCGGATTATAACGTTTAGGCTGTGAATTGATCTTACCAAGTTGACCCCAAAGGGTACCACAGATAATGCGAACGCGATGACTGATAGAAGCATGTTCTTCCGGAGTGCGTAAATACGCATCGCTGTGAAGGCTATGAGAGGAAAGTCTCAGGATTTGCTCGTAAATAAAGGGAAGTATGTGTCACTCCCACCTGCCCAAACAAGATATATGGAATAATTCACGGCATAAGTCCCCTTTGCAGAAGCAGCGCAACTGCAAATGAAAAGACACAGAGCGGCTTCAGCAGGTATCCATAGTACCGAAAGATACCATGCCTCGGATTCCAGCTCACCTCTGGTGAAGTTTCAGGATTAATCAGTATCTAGGTGTCACTGAGATAGAGAACTATCGTACTTACTGCATTGGAAATGTTAAAGTAACTCGCAAGGTCCCAGACTAAGAATATCATGGTCATGTACTTGTTCATCCAGAATAGAACAGCCGCCGCCGTCAATTTGCGCCCCCAGAAACACCTTATCTCTTCTCCGGTAGTGATCATCGTATCGTACAAAAATACAACTAAGATGCAGACGAGTCACTGATACAGCCCATACACTCCTTGAAAGGATGTGAACGAGTTGAGATACCTATCCCGGCAAAGAAACAACGGTTGTCAATCAAGCTATCGCGTCCGTCATGTATTCAGTACTTGTACTTCCAGTCAGTCAAGGCATGTAACTTACATCTGTGAATACTGGAGAGCCAGCTGGCCAGAATTGGAGGTAGCCATGATAGGGAGGTGACAGGTGAGATGGGTGCGAACTCAGTCGTAGCGAGCTCTGGAGATGCATTTATACCCTCTCGTGAAGCTTCAGATTCTATGGATCCCTTTTGATACTCCAGTCCGTGAGAGAACATCTGGCTCATAGTGGCTATTTTCTGGTAATAGCCCACCAATGACATCTGTCTCCGTTATATGTCTGAAACATAGACATCAGGGAAGCAGCAGAAGCCTGATCCACTTGATCGCTTGCACCGTGCAGACGGTGCCCAAGGGCATCTACTTTCCGGAGCAATAACACCCATACGAAACTAGAAGTAATCATATCGGAAAATGTATGTGCAGGAGTGACCGAGGGAATTTGTGAGCCACTTGCAGTAGAGCGATGGGTCTGAAGGGAGAACCACCACTCTTGCGGGGCGGTAACTCGTGATGTCTCAGTGGAGCTATATCTGATGTGCGAATAAGGGTTCCAAGATAGCTAGGATGGGGCAATGTGGTGAGAGGGTGCCTATGCATCATGATAATATGATATTTATAGAAGACGGCAAGCAAGACAGATACCGAAGCGTGGCATCGGTACATTGTCAAACACACATACACGCCGAGGTACTTCACTGGATAGTAGTAGCCGACTTAGAGTCCTGCCAGGTGTTATCCGAGTACTAGCTACGCTCATTTTGGCCAAAATATACACAATGAGAGGGGCTCAAACAAGGTCTCAACCTCACTCGGGGGCTATGAGGGACGAGCCGTACCAGCCCATAATAAGTGATTCACGTCCGCGTCCAGAACCTGTCGAACGGCGTAACAGGGATAAATATAGAGGACGACGAGCTGGAGCCTGCGCCTTCGAGTCTCAGCGTTCATGTGGAGGCAAGATCTGGAGGAGTTTTATTTGAGCTATTCGATTCTCACGGTTTAGCCGCTTGCGAAAGAGCGGTACAAGCTGATGGCCTTTCCAATGCTGACGGATGCGTCCGTCAACAAGTAAGAACATACTCTACATTGGCCCATTTGGTATGATATAGGACGTCGCCTTCGCCGTAACATACATACGCAACACACGCCACTTCTACCTCACCGTGTCTCATGTTCTCTCGAACATAAACCACTGGGCTGAAGGGCGTACGGTGTCCATCTTCTCAGTTCCAGCCGTAGAGGATGTAGAATAGGCGACGTGCCCCGCGACCATCATACACTCGAGCTTCACACCGTTATCGTTGACTGTAACGTCGACTTCGCAGTATCCTGGGGGAATCATTGTCGCATCTAACACGGAGAAGGGAACGTTATCAAGCGTATACGTCGGATTACCCCGGCGCCATGAATCTGGGCAGTGAGATGAGCGGATGACGGTAGTGCGCGAAGTCAGAGGTTGAGAATACTCACGTCTAATCATAACGCTCCCACTTGGCTTGTCGTTTGCCTCCTGTGCAGAGTCCTCTTCGCTACGGCCGGGAGACTTGGCGTTCCTGCGCAGAAACCTTGGTATTATTTTGCTCAAGCGTTTGCGCCTCGATTCGCTATCTATCAGCACGAAGCTGGGCTTTACCGGAGTGCTCTCGGGAAGCGACACAGAGTTCCATTCTCCCTTGTGCGACCATACGCAGAAAGCCGTGATCCACCCGCTGAGGTCTTCCCTTCCACACATTTCAGAGTGGTGATATGCGACGTGGCTCCAGAACTCCACGTCAGGCTCGCCATCGAATGCACTGATGAATCGGCGAAGGATAGGGCGAAGCATCTCCGCCCAAACGGAAGGTTCCTTCCCGAAGTCGTAGAGTCGCTCGAGCCTGCGATAGATCTCCACCCAGTCGGACTTCTCTCCTTCTAAAGTGACCGATGGTATGCCGCAGATACAGTCGATCACATACTCGAAGTATCTAGAAGGAGAGATTCAGCCGGACAAGGGGGCTTGTCGGAAATGGAGACACGTACTCCTTGAGGCTCGCCATTATGACGATCGAGCATACGGTAGTGTCCCTTGTGGTAGTCGTGGTGAAATCGGGTAGGATCCACTTCACCAATGTATCGTCCACGACCTATGTCCATCTGTGGTCAAATATGTTGAATACAATCGAACACCGGCCAAGACGCACGTTCTCGTGAATCCTCTTGGTGAATGTCTGAGCAAGGCTGCCATAGTCAACTGCATAGCGATCTCCGGCGGCCTGCAATACCAATTTTTTCTTGCCCTCGTGAGCAACAAAATATGAACGGAGTTCCTCGGCATGGGCATTGATGCTGTTAACGGTGCAAATGCATGAGTTAATCCTGTAAGTCAAAGCGTATTGGCCTACATACTAGAAATTCAGCTGCACAACGATAGCCAACCAGACATCATCGGGCCTGCGTGCAAGGAGCAATCTCACATCAAAAAAGTTCTGCGTCAAGAAAAACTTGTTGCTTACCTGATCCGGAGGTGACGATGAGCTCCATAGGCATCTAGGACGGCGTGCACAAACCCGTTGCTGTAGGGTACCATCGTAAGAACTTCATCCGCCTCAAGGGAGCTCTGCAAGATCTCCTTGCATCGTCTCCATTGCGGCCGGCAGCTCTCTTCCAGGATGTTGTCTACCGAGGGCGTATAGCTCTTGTCGAGCTCGAAACTGTTTGCCTTGTGAGAAGCGACCTGGAAGGTCACAGGCATGGTACACGGGGACGACTCGGAATGGACAGCGGACTGGTAATGGTAGCGTAAGGAGTCGGAAGTCAAGGACAAATCCAACCCACCGACACGTCAAGAGGGCCTATATTTTGTTGATGAGAGAAGAATGTGTCACTATGGGCCTGGCGCCCCCGGAAAACCCCCGGTTCGACAAGGCAAAAAGTGCGTTCAACGGTCGCACCGTGGAAATGGGATCTCACCGTTGAATATCACCCGTCAGTTATCCGCGGCGGCAACGTGTTTTTACATCCGTAGAGATTTACCACCTGAGACGCCAAGCTGAACGGGGTTATTCCACGGTTGCTCTCGGTGTCCGCAAACAAGTCTGCATGTGCCGGCCCTAAACATGGGCGCCAAATGCCAGTCGCTCTGATTCTGACCATTCTCTCGTCTGCATCGACATTCTCCTGTTGCTTGTGACATCTGACTTTCATGGAACTATCTTAGGGTGCGTTGGGTACATGACTGCTGTCGCGTCTACATTTATTGGTCCCCTTTATCACCGTTCCTGGGGTGTGCATACAGTACCAGAGTCGTCGGGCAGAGCCCAGTGATGGACGGTCGGCATAAGGTAAGTCGCAATCTTCAGAGTTGTGAGTTTCTCAGGTAAGTCCAGCTATGTTGTTTGGCCATTCTGGCAAAGATGTCGATCAGGTAAGTCACTCTTCTCAAATATCTGCATTCTCCCCGGTGAGTATTTGCTGCTCTTCCCTGAATATCTGACTCCGTCTACCCAAACTCCCATATGTGTCCTTAGTTTTGGCGTGGATGTACTGCAGGAGCGGCAAGGGTCAAAAGGACGTGGTCGTTGAGAGTACCAGAGGGTCTCGAACTTGCATAGTTTATATTGATATCCCTACCTGTACTATGTACTCAGCATGCCGTAATGCGACCGTAACACTGCAATCTGCAGCGTGTTTAGCTACACTCTTGTACTGCATCATCAGTGATTCCCTATTGATTTCCAGCTGGCGCAAGCGAAGATCCGGCACCCGGAAACCGTGCAAATTCCCATGTTTTACAGGTGTAAATCCCGCCCTTCCGACCCGCTGTCTAACCGAGGTTTTTCTCCTGTCTGAGACCACGCCAGATTGACCGTGGAAAGCCGTCATCTTGACGCGCTTTTTGCTCGTCCATAAACCGGTGTTCGACCAGGGTTTTCTGCTCCATTTCCTTGGCCGGACCGCACTATTTCCTCGGTTTTCCCCTGTGGGTTTTGCACAGTCCCGGGCGCCATAGTGTGTGATATCACGAAGAAAGCCAGGCAGCACAGCACACTGATAATGCTGTCATCTTTCGACTGCGGCGATCACATGATGACAGCATTTGTGCTGCGCGCATAGCGCGGCATCGATCACAAAGTTGGCCATACTTGATACACTCTCGAGCACACAGTAGCGACCGGTCTGTAGCCGAGATGAATGTTTGTCTAACAACTGGGTGGCGCCAACCCACGACGAAAGTATGACTCCAGCTGAAAATGAAAATGTCTAGCCAGTCATTGCACGCACCGGACAACCGCCGTGTCTGTGTGCTAGAGAGAAGATGATAGGACTGCCGAACCAGATTGCAGGGAATCGAGGCCGCGTGCACGTACGGGAGCCAGATTGTCATCAGCTGTGCTAGTGCAGAGTGATATGTAGCAAACGTTGAATGATAAATCAACAACTCTTCACAATAGCAGCACCTCCTCTGTCATACACCATGCCATACACTACTTTTACGACCTGCAGCGCGGAGTAGGCATCGTGCAAGCATCGCGCATCGACAAGCAGCTCACCCATTCCGCCGATGATGAGCTCTATAATTTCAGAAAGCGCTGATAGCATGTCCGCTCGACTCGTCCATCTCCACGTCCGCGTCCTTGCCCTGCTTCACCTTCAACTGGTCAAGCAGGTAGGCCAGCGTCGAGCTATTGTCCGAACATCTATGAAGTGAATCTTCGGTGAGCCGCTGCATCCATCACAGTAGCGCAACTCAGAGTACTTACAGTCGCGAAATAAGCTCCTCAAAGTCTCCTAGCCCCTTCTGCAGCGCCCTCAGCACGCTCGCGTACTCCCCTGACCGATCCCTCAAATGCCGCCCATGCGCCCCAAGCAACGCGCTCGTCCACAGCAAGTCGAACTCCACATGCGGGCTGCGCTCCATATGCTCCGCTACGAACCGTAGCAGCGGCCCGACGTACACGATCGGCAGGCTACGTACGAGCAGCCGGATGTCCGCGCGGGGCACGGCCTCGTACACTGTCTGTACGAGCGGCTTCTCGTTCAGGCGGAACGCCATGACAAGCGCCTTCAGGTACTCGCGCTGCGCAAGCGTCGCGAGGAGCGACTGCGGCGTCAAATCGAGGTCGAGGTCGAACGGGTCGAATGCGATAGACTCGTCGACGGAGTAAATCAGGAGGCCCTCAGTCGACGCTGCAGCCCACGCGCGGCCTGTGGGTGAGAAGCGCACGCATTTCGTCCTCGCCTCTTGTCGATACCGACGCTTCGACATGTCGCCGTGCTGCGCGCCTGGCAACGCAGTATCCATCCGGTCTTCGAGGTCGCTCTCGTCGCCGCGGTCGTCGATCAGGTCGATGTTGCCGGCCTCGGTGAGCTTGCGGCTGTCGAGGAACTCCTCGGTGCCGTCCAGGCTCAGGTTCTGCGAGATCTGGAACTTCTTCACCATGACCCCTTCGCGCACGTCGTAGATCACGACATACTTGCTGTTCCCGCCCGCGATGATGCATTGCCCGTCCGCGGTGTACGCGAGGCTGTTGAAGGACTTCCCAGAAGCACTGTTGGCCGCCGTGACCCGATCGTCCGCCTTCCGTCCTCCGGATATATCGCGTCGACCGTCAATGAGATTCGTCTGCTTGCCAAGGTCGACGTCGAAGAACATGACCTGGCCGTCAAGGCTGGAGGCGGCAAGCTCCTTCCCATCAGGCCGGAACGCGACCGCGAGCACGTCCGCGCTCAGCTGGAAGGGCTCCACCGCGTGCGAACGCCCAAAGACCGTCCATACCCGCACACTCTTGTCCCAGGAGCCAGACGCGAGCAAGTTGCCAGTAGGGGAAAACGCTAGCGAGCTGACAGGGCCTTCATGCCCGGTTAGGATGTCGAGCAGCTTGCCAGTCTGGACCGACCACAAGAAGACCTCGAACGAGTCTGTCGAACCCGCAGCAACTACCTCGCCGCTCGGGTCTACCGCAAGGCACGAGAACTGGACCGGCGTGGGCGATGTGAAGGTACGGAAGTTGCGATAACGAATGAGATCGAACGCACGTACGGTGCCATCGAGAGACGCTGTGAAGAGGACTTGGCCCTGTTTGGTAAACTCCACGGCGGAGACGGCAGCAGAGTGCTCAGAGAAGGTAACGAAGCAGAACCCGGACGTCGTATTCCAAACCTTCACCTTGCCGTCATCGCCTCCGGAGGCTATGTACTGGCCATCGGGTGAGTACGCGAGCGTGTTCATGTCGAAGAAATGACCCTGCTGCTTGAGCACGTACGACTCGGACTGCCACTCCCACACAAGCAGCTGTCCAAGCTTCTTCGCGCCAAACGCGAGCCACTCGCCTGAAGGATTGATCGCGACCGACGAGATTTTCTCCTGCGATATGCTGAGGGTGTGGATGTTCGAAAACGAAGGCATCTCCCACAAGCCGAAAACACCAGTGGAGAACCCGACGACTAGAAGGTTTGAAGCACGATGGTAGGTGCTGCACACGACCTTTGTGCCGCCGGGCTGGTTGAAGTAATGACGCTTATGTACGCCCCATCGCGTGTTGGCGATCTCGTTGTAGAGCGCGCCGGTGCCGTTCGACGTCGATGCAATGGGCAAGTCGTCGTCGTCGTCTGCGTCTGATTCGTCCGAAGCCGCTTCTCTGGGCTTGGCCCTCCAGGTGAAAACTGCGCCATCTCGGCTGACGGTGTATATCTTCACATTGAGCAGGATTAGATGAGAAACTAGACGTCGAATTCGTATGCTCCTCACCGTTTTCGCATCGCTAGAAAAGTACGCGTTCAAGACTGCGTCCTTGTGTCCTGCAAACGTCTTCGGCCGGAAACCTTCCAGGGGATCGAGCGTGAACAGCCGTGCGGTCATGTCGCGGGACGTAGTGATGAAACATCTGCTCTCCTTAGTAAGACGCGGGTGTGCCCCAGAGGAAGCTGGCAAGTACGTACTTCGAGTCCGGAGACCACTCGATGCTCAACACCTCGTCATGGTGGCCAGTATACGTCCTGTGAAGGTTGAACGGGGCAAACTCCCGGATGAGGTGGTTGGGCGTGCGCCAGACTTGAACGTGGGTGTCATGAGAGACGGCGATATATCTGGGGCACCCTGCTGTTAGACGGGCGTCCACCCGATGAAGAGGGTTGCGTACCCACTTTCCGTCTGGCGAAAACTTCAGCGCTTTGACAGCCTTGTGAAAGTTGAAATGATGAAGGACGACACCCCTTTTGAAGTTGACCAGCAACGCGCGACCGTCTACGTTTTCGGTCTGAAGGATCGTCCAGAAACCGGCAAGAACTACATACCGTCGTCGATGCTTAGCAGGACATTCGCATCCGGACTCAGAGCGATAGCGGCGATGTTCTTGCGGTTCTCGAAGGGAAACGTATGTGACTTGTTGCTACACAAGATGAGAACGGAGAATGCTTCTTTGCGGGCAATGTACTCACTTGACGAGGTCGAACACGGACACACGGTTGCCCACCGGGCTCAACACTGAGTTTCCGTCTGGCGTAAAAATGATGTTTCCCTGCCTGTACACTGTCCCACAGAGATTGGAGAACTGACGGGTTAAGCGTTGGGAATGAGCGTCAAACGAGAGGACAACGTGGAGTCACCTTGTAGTTCGCCTTCATGACAAGCCCTCCTCGCACGATATTCGTTGTTTGGTCGGATTCCAAAGTCTGGTCGAAATGGAAGTACCCAGAGAGACGAGGAAGATATGGAGGTAGCAATTGGACTGCCGGACTGGAAGTTAAAAGGACGAAAGACGTTGCTACATTGGCGCCCGCAAATTACAGTGGTTTTTCAATTGACTTGTCGTTTGAGCGCCGACGCGATTGCGCCGCTACAGATGCGTCCCTTGGGGACCTTCGACCGACAATATCTCCTCTTCTCCTCCTCAAGATCACTCGCTTCTTCCAATCAATCACGCCTGGAGCATATCTGTACACGTTGATTCCAGTTGTGTTGCTAGATGTACCACCCATATCGCGCCAGCCCCGTCTCGCATCTCGCTCACTGGGTCCTTCTCTAAGCGCCCCCTTTGGCACGTTGGACGGCGATATCTCCTCAACGATGCAACATATTGACGTCGATTCTTCATTGTCTAGAAAAGTGTCCAGCAGGGCATGGCACTGCTCATACTATGAGATATGGCGCGTAGAACATCCAGCCTCCATATCACTATTACTCCTGCAGCAATTTTCCCCTGTCGACCATGCATATTGTTCCTCATACTACACGGAGAAGCGAAGGAGATGCAGAAGGAGTCACTGGTGGACGTTACAGAGCATGCAGAGTGCAGTAAGTGTTTGAGCCGTACATCTCCCGTCTTCTATGCAGAGTACATGTACATGTCTGGTATGCTACTCCCCCGGATGTCGCCAAACCACCATCCTTAGGCTCCAAAGCATGTTGTATATTCGTTTTATATGCCTATGTTCATCTTCAATCACAGATGTCATCAATGGCAGTCGCGTGTAGTTATCCACCACATCAATCGCCCGGCGACCCTTCCTGTCCCCTCCTGCAGTCCTGAAGTGATGACACATGTTCCCAAATACCCCGCAAGATCACCAGTACTTCCATAGTATATACTACTCACAGACAACACTGTCTACTATCGCCCAAAGAGAAACCCCCGATGTTGCACCAGACGCGACCTCTCAGCCGCCCCCATGCACAACGTTATCACTACGAGAATCACAATCCTCCTGCATCATTCCCTGAATAGCACTCAAATTCACCCTTTTCGATGGTTTCCGTAGAAGTACACTGTTCAATGTGTAACAGAGTCTGAATCGAGAGGCGAGTGCACGGGATGTAATACGGGGTTGGTGCCATATGGGTGGCACATCTAGCAACACAACTGGAATCAACGTGTGCCGATATGCTCCAGGCGTGATTTATTGAAAGAAGCGAGTGATCTTGAGGAGGAGAAGAGGAGATATTGTCGGTCGAAGGTCCCGACTCCCCAAGGGACGCATCTGTAGCGGCGCACTCGCGTTGGCGCTCAAACGACAATTCAATTGAAAACCGCTGTACTGACCCGATCGGGCCGAGCTGACCGTCTCCCTGGGTTCGATCCTCATTGCATTGCAGCCAAGCTCTATACCAATCTGAAAACGATCACGAAACCGGACTTGTTCATATTCTACAGAACATATGAAAAAAGTCGCTGTGCGACCGGGAGCCATGCCAAGGGCTATAATATACCATGATAGGCTGTTTCATCAGTACGACCGTGTATTAGCACCTCACGATCATAGCTACAAACACGTTCACGGAAGTGCCAACTCGGAATCATCCCTCCTCCTCAACACACAGCGAAAAACCACCGAAGTTCTTGCAGTACTCAATTTGACGTTCTCTACAGCCTCCCCTGTATGCTCTTCAGAGTATCCACTGCGCACTCCCCAAGGGTCCTGAACTGCTTCAGCTGCAGCACGCACTTCGCCTTGGACGAATCGCAGAAGGCGCCAGGGAACGAAAACGGTGGTGGACTTGGATTCCCAAGCACAAGGCCCTGCAGGTCTGGGGCCGTCGCGTGCACGGCATCGTCTGTCATAAGGAGTGACCCACATATGAGCTACTGAGGTCAACGGCAAGAGCCGATAAAGGTGCGTACACAGGTTCTGGAACGTGTATGCGCCTGCGAAGAGCATCGTGAAAAGAGTCGTTAGTTGGCGTCGAAGATAAAGCGTGAAGAGGGCGAAGGGGGGACCAAACACAGTACGCCGCACCTGCATCGAGAATGAACCGCTCATTACCAGCGGCTTCGACCTTCAATGCGGCGACGAACGCATCGGCGACGTCGCGGACGTCGACGTAGTCTGACGCATAGATGTTCACTTGGTCGCCGTCGCGCGGAGTCGTGAGGTGTTGGTACATGATCTTAGAGGAGAGGTTGAGGTCATCAAAAGCCTTCCACTGCCGATGCAACGCAGGGTCTATGTTAGTATTCGTACTGGACCTAACCGAGACCGTCAACGAAGAGACATACGTCGTGGATGACAGGCTGCAAGGCGAAATGAGCTTATAGCACTTAGCATGATAGTCAAGGACTCAAAGAAAACGCACCCCAAAGATCTGCAAAATGTGTTGGTCAGTAATCTAGAATGTCGTGGATCGATGATAGCGCAACATACCCAGGCAGGTACAATACGTGTCGCATCCCATCCAATCTCCTTCTTATGCTCTTCGACAAAGTTGATAACCGCGCGTTCGGCAAGCACCTTGCTCGCGCGGTAAAGCGCTTGGCCGCCCGCCGCGCTGCCCTTCTCATTGACAAGTGCGAGATCCTTCTCGGCCCAGTCGTCCTATATCGTACAATCGTGGTGAATTTATAGCCAGCTCGCCCATACACCAGATTGGACGTTGTGTCGCACCTCAGTATATACATGGAACAGATCCTCGTGACCGAGCATCGCCTGCGCGGACGACATGTACACAAAACGCTTTACGTTCTTGCTGTGGCGGGATGGTTGAATTAGCACCTGAAGGTCACCAGAGAGGGCGGAGGTAGGACCAGCCCATGCGCACCCGTGTCGGAGCGTGCTCTCAAGCAGGTTCAAGACGCTGTCTGTGTTCGGCCCCATGATGTCTGGCCAACAGAGACGACGAGTGAATACAGGTGGGAGGAGATGCGCATAGTATGTAGTCTCACCTAAAGCATCCGTGGCGGATAAGTTCGCCACACCGGCCTATCGCATTCGTACGGACAATCATAATAAACACCTGAGAAAGAGATGTGATGATACAAAAGGGGATACGCACTACGTGCACCACAGCACTGATCGAGTCGTTGAAAATACCGTGACTATCAAAGGCATCATGCTGGAAAAAGGGGCGTCAGCAATGCACAATAAGGGGGTAGCAGCGAGCTGAAGAGAGTCTGCGCGCCTTGGCTATGTCAGGGACAATTACAGACTCAAAGCGGTCGCCGTGGATCTTGAAGAGGTCGGCGACATACGCGGCCTTCTCCTCAGAGCGGACGGCGCCGCGGACGGCGTATCCGTTCTCGAGGAGGGCGCGTGCGATCCAGGCACCGCTGAAGCCGGACACGCCAGTGACGAAGACAGTTGCGGGAGGCGGCACGGCGGGCATTCCGTCGTAGTGGGCAGGGGGCTATAAACGGTGTATGCAGGACGTTGAATGGTTTGTTACGAAGCGCAGCGAGGTAGCGTTCCCGCCTAAACGCTGCTCAGATACGCAACGGGGAGTATGACTCAGGATTGCAATCCTAAGAGACTCCGGGCTTCCTTTGTGTATGCCTCTGATTTCCATCATGCATCAACAGCGACGGGCGGGTGCTGTTCACTGTGGGGCCTTGAGAGTTCCCAAAATGTGCGTTTTCTGACACGAATAGGTCTGCTCAGACGCGCATCGTGTTTAACAAGCCATCTCATTTGATACGTGCACGACCTCACCTGCTTCTAGATAGCGAAGGGGAAAGCAATTCCAAGTGACGGAAGCCTGGGCATCTCAAAAGCTGGGAGAAGCTCGATGAATCTGCGCATAGAAGAGTGTGTTCAATGTGTCTAGATCCTGCAGCGCATAGTGTAAGTCGTCACAAGTTCTGATCCCACGAATCGGCCCTCGGAACTTGAAGCTTGAAAGCTTGAAGACAGACATGGGCGCCTCATCAGGATTCATATCACGTGCCTCGCTGTTGATCTCCTACTTACGAGGCTACGCGGCCACAGCTCATGCATAGGAAAGTTGAAACATGCGATGCTTCATTTCATGTCGAGAGGATTGTCAACGAAACCCGTTCCAGAAGTACATTCCCCTCCATCACCCAATGACTGGGCATCGCCAATCCACGCGCGCGGCGGTATATAGCTTCAAACCAACCAACAGAGCAAGACCGTGGCGTTATACTCATACATTATTCATCCTCTGCAGTTCTGCTAGAATCTCCAATCCTATATCTTGTTCGCTGCTGCACATAACAGAAGCAGTGGCCTAGACGGGTCCCAAGGCTGGTTGGGCCTGAGGATGACGCCGCTCCTCACTGGGACTCCAGGGACTATATGTCACAGCCCCGAAGACCGCGGCCATCTGTGTCCCTCTCGTCCCACGCAGGGAGAACATCCCGTCTAGCGCTACGCTGTTGTTTGTTGCACTCTCGTCCCATGTCGAGTCTGCTGCCTCTTGTAGGTCGAGGATGAAGCGGCACGTCAGGATGACAGCGATCCTATCGAACAGATAAGTCAACAAGCTCGGAAAGGCTGAGGTCTTCTAGCGGTAGGAAATGGAAACAGGCATCCCTGCTTTGAGGGTTCCTTTCAAATGTCATCTCGGGGTCCGGCTCACGGACCACATCGACATGTACATGTCAAGCCTTGAGACCCCAATGGATCCGTCAGAAGGCAGCGGCGGGCGCACGAGACTGCGCAGGGCGATCGTGAGGTCACCCAGGATCCACAACCTTCAGTATGTGTCAGTCAACGGTGCCTGGCTGAAAGGCGGCTGCCTACAACCAATTGGGCCTATCTCGTGGCACGGTACGGGTGAAAGAAAACAGACGTTGCGACTTACACAGAGTTCCACTGAACAGTAGCGTATATCAGCTGTCCAAGAAGTTAGCGAAAGAGTCGATTGCCGGGAGCAGTCCAACGCTTACGTCTATTCGCCCGACTAATACCAGCCCTACAAGATTGGTGAAGAAAAGGAGGCTGATTATCCTAGTAGGCTCAGTTCTCGGGCCCTATGCATGACACAAGAGGCAACACGCTCACAAAAAATAAATCGTTCCTGATACCAACACACTCGTCAACGACCCAAAATCAGCTGTCATTTGAGACACCTGCCTCCAAAGAAGAGAACTGCAGGCAGCATCGACAGATGACCAAACCTCATCCCTTCGCCCTTCTGTGGCCAAAAGCGCATCCACGTTAGGACAAGCACAATCGCGTCGGCGGCCAGAGCACACGTTCGCATCGCGATATCGACTGCCACTTGTCATAAGTCTCAAGCGGTATATACGTCGGTGAACATAGAGAAGGAACTCGCGACGTACAGCTTCAGGGGCATGTTATTACGAGCTGCATGAGTTGAGTCGGGAACAAGCTCACCCAAAATATGATCCGATAGGGGCTTTCGATACGGAGTAATGGCCGGACGGTGTGAGATTCGTCCAGCCTCCCCCGGTGAAACTGAGATACTGCCACATCCCAGACATCAGACCTTCCTCAGTCGGTGGAGAAAGGACTATAGGATCTGCACTCACGAGGGTGGTCATAGGATTCACCATGCCTAGAAGGGCTACTAGTATTGCGGCCCACAGCTTGCTTGGAGAAAGCGCATGGGCTCTGAGCCCTGCAAACACTGCTGCAAGATGAGCGTCCGGCCACGTACGCGGACGTTCCGTACTGTGCTCACCGATGGTCGTGATGATCATCACGGTTCCAGAAATCACTGAGAGATAACCCAGAACTGCGTGGCTATACATTTGATTGTATTCAATGAGTGCATATGGACGCGCTCGGGGTGGTGTACCTCTGAAGTCGACATCAGCTTGCCGCCTGATAAGGATAAGATACGTGTGAGGGTCGCCTCTGACCGCTAACCTTTGCACTCTCCCCGGAAATCGAGGACAGGTCGAGGATCGTCAACAGCATTTGAAAAATGGACAAGTAGCGGATGATGATGTAGAGCACAGAGGAGCTGGACAGGGGACGGGGCCAGACATATCGTATTTCTCGGTCGAACACCAGCAGCCAATCGTAATATATCAAAACTATAGAAGTAGTGTGAGCGCACGATGAACACACTTGAAGGATGATCCGACTCACCGGCGCCCGCAAAGACGTGGTATTCATTTTCGACTCTGTACGTCGACGAATTGTCAGCTCTGGTGCGCAACGAGCCCTCTGAATACGTCGTGGCGAACCTTAGCTCACCTCGTTTTGCTCATAGCGATCATCAGTTCAGTAGCCAGAGAAGAGCTCATCTCAGCAGTTCGAAGTGTTCAACCTGCTCGCAACAATAGTAGTCGCGTGTCTGGCAGCAGAAGGCAATCAATACGATGCACATATGTATACGATGGGCATTGAGATCGCAGCCGAGCGTCCTCTCCGTCCGCTTCCACATGTTGAACAAGGAAAGCAAGAAGATCGCTCACCAACTGTTGAAATTTCACTTCATGACGCGCGAAGTGCCTGGGAGGGTGCGGATGCCATCCTAACGCCCTATACAGTAGTGTCAGGAAGGCCGTTAGCACTAAGTCTGGGCGAGGGAAAACTTCTCACGATGTACAGCGTGAGTCATGCCATGCAGAGCTGAATACTTGTGCTTCTCACCGATCTCGGGAGAAGACTGGTGAAAAATTGCACCGTGCCATGACAGAAGGCCGGCGTGTGGCGTGCGCAATATTGAATGTTGTCGTTTGGGGTCCGGCACTTGCTTTTGATGGTGCCAGCGGAGTGTAAAGCTGTAAGCGGAGTAATCGGCCCCTTGTTCCGACCCAGCATGGTGCAGAAAATTCTACTTGTGTACTGTACATAAGCGTACGCCTGCTAATTATCCTACATAGCGCCGCTTGCTCCCCACAATCCAAGATGTCATTCAGCGCTAGGAACCGAGCACGCGACAATCCTAGGTGCGACATCGTACGTAGGCTATGCCGCGTCTATGCACGCTATACTCGGGCAGGACGGAAAACGATGGTATTGGGCGCGCGCTACGGAAGCTGCGCGGGACCACCGAGTCCGTGTCGCCACCGCTCTCTCGCGCGACCGGTGGGCCGAGCTCAAGCCGGCGGAAGGCGAATGTACCTGATACATGAGACGTAGCTAAGCGAAACCAAAAATGGGGCAGCGGAAGGGCGGGTGCAAAAACGAAAGCTCGAGGAGCGCGAGCTCCCGAAGGGCGAAGGGACGGGCTGCAAGCCCTTAACCTATATACTACTAGAGACAAAGCAGATGTAAAGCGGCGAGGGGGTGGCACGAGTTACGCTGTCATAGACCCTGGACAATAATTATTGTCCAAAACACTCACACGTCTATCACAGGTGCCCTCCTGGATCGATTGGACCGATGATCATACGACTTGTCATCTCACGGCAGCGTGATAAGAGGTCCAGCGGCCGCTGCTATGGTACGTACGACGCTGGCCAGGCCCCTACGGAGCCTTCCTATGGACCAATGTCTTGTGAGCTGTGCGACGGCGTGTGAAAGAAACCAACTACGGCGCATAAAGTTGATATAGAGGAGGCAGGGTTCCTGTGTCGCTCCGCGTCTCGTCCTCAGTCGGATAGCCCGGTCGCTCTAAAGGCCCACCCGCGATGCGCACGCCTCCATCAACGGACCGTCGTCTGACAGGTCTTGGCGACAAGGGCGTCATCGACGAGCGGCCATTGTACTCTAGGTAGTACGCGCCTTGCGGAGGGACAAATGGAGGACTAAGAGGCTCTCGTGGTACGATGGGTACTGCTGGAAGAGCTCGCGGGTACGTCGCGTATTTCTCCCCGTCGCTTAGCTCCACGACCTCCGGTATTGATTGTCCAGTGGAACGCAGATTGTCGGCATCGACGATGTCCACAGCCTCCGTAGGGACGTCGACATGGGCAACGCTGCTGTCATGGCTGTCAACTGGGGAAGACATGTGCACAATAGTATCTGAGTTGGCTGAGAAGATTTCGCTCCGCAGCGTGAGTTTGGACTTCCCAAGAGACGACTCTATATCACTAGATTCCGCGTCCCCTTGCCCCGAGGAAGCTGCAATATTTGTCAACGTCCGGATTGGATCTCGTCACGCATTCGTGTCCGACGAATGGACTCACCGAAGGGTACAATCGAATCTTTCCTGGCTGCCCGCTGACGCCGACGCCACCAC